GCAACGGTTAATATAGCATAAATCATAGTGAGAGTGGGGTGCTCCTCTCATCTCAGCTGTAGAAACATCCCGTGGCCGTGGTTGTTTATCTATCGATCCCTGATGAGGGAGCTAGGGGAATGAAACGAAGCTGCTGCACTTTTTTTTGTGTTTCCTTCGTGATTTCACCTGTGTTCGATCTGAACGAACATAGTTGATATATGATCCATTCATCATTTTATTTATTTATTAGGTGAAATCTAGGTAGCTAATTCTTTCCCCATGTGTGTAGATGGGTTTCTGATGTACCCACGTGGAATCAACCGAATTAGAACCTGCATTATTACAAACATAAATTGCTTGAATCAGATAAACGAAGCAAGTTAGCAATAACAATGAACAATAGTGCTAAACAATACCATGCCAGCATTGATTTACTCCAGTTGTTCACTGTCACTCTGTTTTGTCAGTCAATTTCCATTTCACTTTTAGTTTTGTCAGAGTTTAGCTTTATTTCGGTTTCGTCAGTTAAGGTTGTAGTTAGCCTGACGCATGCGTTTTGTTCCTGCGGAGGCACGTCCAAGTCCTACGCGGCTCTTGCGTGGTCTTCGGATGGCATGATCGTAGTGGCACTGGTGTTGTGCATTCAGGAGGATAGCTCCTATGTATTTCCCTTTATATTGCAATCCATAAGCTGAAAAACGCTGACAGTTGACAGCACCAAGACCCAGTTGTGTTCATCTGTGTTCCTGAGTGCGTTGCTTATAGTTCGCCAGTGGCGAGAAACTTCCGATGAGCTCCAACAGCCAGGAGTTAACACATACCAGTGGCAAATCTTGAACAGCAGAATCAGTATTTGGAAAGGAGAAAAAAGTTGGGAAAAATAAGCTCTACTATGAAATACACTGTGGTTATAAAAATTGCACATTGGTATGATCCTGGTAAGTCATAGGTTTCAGTTAGTACAGTTCTGAACAATCTGATGAGGTTCCAGTGGTAACAAATAATTAGCAGCACTACTATGAAATCAGGAGGTCCTCCAGTGGTATAAACCAAGTCGTATGAAAAAACATGTGCCAAAAATCATGAACAAGCTGCACTAGAACACATGTTTCTTTCATAGATTCATGAATAGGAGCTAATTTTTCATGATAGACCTTGGGATGCAAACAACTATACAGGAATTCCATTTTTCTGTGAAATTCAGAGCTACAAGGGCAATGCAATATATTGTCTGTCAATGAATAGTAATGAACCAACAACTAATAGAGTAGACCCTCTCGTCCAACACTTACAGAAGTTTTAAAATATGCATGTGTCAAATTTTATATAGCCATGCACAACTCCGTATACTGCAGTTCAAATTTTGGTGGCATGTGGCCACGCACGGGCATCAAATTTTGCGGTCATGTATGCTAACAAATTAACAATGTAGGTGTTGTAGTTATTTCAGAGGCCTCACATGATATCATCAAGATAACAGGACAGAGGCATAGAGCACGCACGGACAACTTTAAATCTTTAATTACTTGCCGATCTCCATAGAATAATAGTATATTATGTTCGACTAATGTCATTCTGTATATTTTCATGATTTTGGTTTCTCAGTTGCCGATATGGGTTCTGGTTGTCGGTCGCTCAAAAGAAAGAGAGTGTACACTGACCCGTCGCCAACAATCACCGATACACACATCTACAGGTAACTACGTTGCATTTATCTTGTAATTGATCGAGGCAATCATTTTCTATCAACATAGGTTTACTCGTGTGTTTTATTATTTTGATTGACACGGACGGGATTGTAGATGGGTTGAATTCCATGAAGTGGGAATGGAACACATATCTTTCATATGGGATGTGAGTGCCATGGTTTTTTGGAAAGACAACGTACGACATCACCAATGGTGATACATATTTACGTGTAATTTTGAAGGATGAGCAGGTGCATTTTGAGCTCATCTTTTGGACTATGTCTAATTTTTTTTCTACAGACCATTGTTATCTATTTGTTGGATCTAATATTCTTACAGGGAACCAAAATGAAAGCGGTTGCGTACGGCGACCAAACCATGAGGTTCGACCGTTTGCTTCGTGTAGGAGAATGTTATGACTTCATGAGAGTTGGCTTCGCGTCTACTCATATTGGTCCTTTGGGCTACATCTTTCGTTTATGTGCCGACTACTTTGTGGTTCTATCTCCACAAAGTATGGCTAATGCACAATCGAGAGAGCTATGGATTTGTTAGTGTCCTCGTACTTTTATGGAATTCGAGGATGTATACACTCAAGCTGAGTACTTTTTTGCAGGTATACCTCATACGCCTATATTTAAAAATACATAGTTAACTGTTCATGCTCCTATTCCATCAATAACTATCGTTTGTGTTTGTAGATGTCATTGGTATAGTTGTGCATTGTCTAATATTCGAGGAAGGGATGATGTGCGGATGTGACCGTACAGATATGTGGTGCTGATGAATGAAAGGTACTTAGATTGAAAATTTTATCATTGCTCCATGCTATCAATTTTTTATTGTTTGATGCTAATTTTGTAACTCATAGGTACCACCACATCATAATAACCGTCAAGTATACACACATGCCGTCACTTATCGGAATGGCGGTGAGCGGCATCAGAGTTGCACATTTTAGCTGGTCTCCATGTACAAATGAATAGAAAGAGTGGTATTGTATCACTGATGTCCTCATATATATTGATTAAATAAAGTATCAGTTATTACATTTTTTGCTCGTGCATGATAGGCGGAGTGACCACTACTAACGATTTCAATGAATTGGTATTCAATCCTATTTGTAATCAGGCGCATGATTTTCAAAGTGAGGTTCTTTTGGGGTAATTCATTGATTTAATTTATTGACTACAACACCGACCCAAAAGTTTTTATTTGTTTATAGATCTACGCAATCGTCTGCTTGTTGATGAAGCCAGACGTCGCCGAGTTCAAGAATTTGCTAAGGACACCGTGTCACGTCTCATAGATTTAGATAACTAAATAATATTGAAATTATTTATGCGCTTGTGACATGCACTTTGGAATAGATGATGGACATGAATTTAGTTTAATATAATAGTCATTTTGTGCATTTTTATTGGTCAAACAGGTTCAAAATATGTGGATTGAGCAATGTTTGTCTGACATATTTGATTGCTTCATTTATTTGATTGCTTCACTTTTAGATATAAAATATTATTTTAATATGGGAGACTTATAGTCCGATATGCCGTGCTCTAAATATTATTTATTTTAGCTTTTGGATTAAATATCAGTTTAATGTCTTATATAGTTATCGTTTGATCCGTGTGTTTTTAATATAAAAATTTAGTTGTTCCAGTAGCAACACACGAGCACGTGCTCTTGAGGTTTATTTCTGAACCAATTAATTTCGTACCAAAATTTTGGTTTTTTGGATTAAATATCTAGATTCGTTTAATGTCTTACATGTTTTATCCTGCTTATTAGTCTCTATTTATTTCGAAGGGATTTTCGTTTACTGGCCACCAAATCTTATTCTCAAAGCATGTTTCAAACTATAAAAGTTTAGTTGTCCCATGCCAAGTGACCCCTCTTTGCTAGCGGGCATGCAAATTTGACGACATGGACACTACGGTTCCTTACAAATTTGCTGGTAGCGGACGCTACCTGGCGGTTTCTTCTACCTTGGTCTCCTTCCTACCTCGAGGTTTATTTCTAAACCAATTTTAGTTCTGCTTCTTGTACACGTACTCCAATTAATTCCGCGCCATGGTTTTAGTGGCTGTTAACCACTGTATATCTTCTAGATTCGACGCATTCTCGTCTTGGCGGCTTGAGCCGCTCGCTTGACGTGATTTACGTGACAACAACTACTACATGTTTTAGCCTGCTTGAAGCATCATGGTTCCAGTTGTAGTCTCTATTCTTATTTCCGAAGGATTTTAGTGTTTACTGGCCACCAAATCTTATTCTCAAAGCATTTGCTAAGCCAAATCAAACTATGTAACAGTGTCTCCTTCTATATTGAAGGTGGCCCTGCGTCGCGGCGGAGGAAGGAGACCAAGGTAGAAGAAAATAATGCTTCTCTCTCCTGACATATGAAAATAGTACTGATAATAGATTTGTCATGAAAATATAGTTCAATTTGTATAAAGCTTTGCAAAGAAATGGTATTTAAAAGTATTAATCAAATACGTTTATTGGAGACTGCGTTGATGTCTGAAATGTCATTAGGTTAAAAAGAACAGAAATGGTTCATATACTACGTTTATATAGGACACAAAAGTTTGATCTGCAGGGTAGATAGCCCGCAGATATTCTACTTAAGATAGAAGGTGATCCCCATGCCCATCTCCAGCGGTCACCCCAAAAGCTCCTAAACAAAAGTTTTTTCTTAAATTCTCTGTAAAATCTATTTTGAAAATGAATTTATTTGAATTGGTAGACGCTAGTATTATTCTTTTAAATAGCTTAATCAAACTTAGAGAGGTTTAACTTCAAATAAAACAAAGTAAATATAATTTAGATTATTGGAGGGAGTGTACCACACTAAAACATCTTACTAGCAAGTATGGAGGATAACTACTTATTGAGTTTAAGGCATTTGCTTACGTCCAAGCACTTGCCTCAGAAATTACACACAGGTTGCATTCACTCAGTAATCAAATCTCAGAAATTCCACTTAATCTGGGCACAGAAAATGGAGATGAGATTCTCATTCACGATAACAGAAAAGCAGGTTATCACAAAATAGTTTGATGGAGGAGTTTCCTCAGGCTCCATATAACTTAGATAAGTTCCAAACAGTACCACGGCATGACAAATTTTTACAGCAACTGGTCCTTATCCTTGTTCTATGCAAAACCTATATAACACACTGATCTCGATAATAATAATCACACGTACCAGATAGATAGAACGAACAAGCAGAACTGATGTTTATCCCTAATAAGTTTTACTTGTCTCATGAGGTATATGTACTTCTTTACTGATGGGAATGTCAAAAGCATGCATCTTCCAACGTGCTCACAGCAGACTGGCCTGGAGCTGACCATCCCTTATCTGCGCTGCGATGTCTCTGACAGCACCTGGTCCATGAGGGATGAAGACCGACGAGGACTTGGATGAGGCCCCAATCTCCTTCATGGTGTCGAAGTACTGGGTCACCAGAACCATGTCCATGACATCCTTTGCAGAGGTCCCAGGAACATTCTCAGAGAAAGCAAGAACACTGTCTCTCAGCCCATCCACTATAGCCTGGCGCTGTCTTGCGATACCCAGACCCGCCAAGTACTTGGATTCTGCATCACCTTCAGCTCTCTTGATCTGCAGTATCTTCTCTGCCCCGCCAAGTACTTGGATTCTGCATCACCTTCAGCTCTCTTGATCTGCAGTATCTTCTCTGCCTCAGCTTTCTCAGTGGCAGCCAGCCTCAGCCTAGCAGCTGTTTCATTAATCGACAGGAACAATTCAGAAATACTGGAACAGAGATACATCATACTCAATGTTTCGTGAAGATAATGCCGTACAACCTATCTTCCAAAATGTACTTAAGTTAAGCAGATGGGACGTTACTTAAATTGCTTTCTTCAAAAAGAAAGTTACTTAATATGTACTCGGTGAGAACATCAGTATAAACAAGTTTGTTCATCACCAACAAACAAATTAAACTAAGTGCAGATGATTTCAGAAAACAAAACAATTACCTTCTAAATATCGTGATAAGATTAACCAGTATAAGAAAACCAGAATTATGGGAGATGATTTTGGTGTCCATGTTTATTTCATGATCAATGAACATAATATTGATTGATGGGAATACTACTGCACTTGACAACATTAGGTGACATCTTGATGATAAGTCTCAAGAAGCTGAGCCATTCTTTCCATGCCACTGAGGCACAAAATCCATCCCATTTTCCCTTTTCCAGATGATTGCACAAATATCAAGTTGTAAAATTGAACAGGTGGTTCTTACAAAGAAATCAACATGCAGTTGATGTTTCAACTATGAACAAGAAATATGTGGAACTTGCCTGCATTGATCTCATTCATGGCTCTCTTCACATGCCCATCGGGCTCAATATCAACAATCAGAGTCTGCACAATCTCATATCCATACATAGACATTGCCTATACAGTGAAGAAAAGGGTTAGCCAAAAAAACCAAAACTTCCATGCTCTAGAAGACCAACAAATGATGAACACAGACCTTTTCAAGTTCATCTTCTACAGCTTTGGCGATTTCATTCTTCTGCTCAAAGGCATCATCCAAGTTCATCTTTGGAACACTTGCCCTGATGACTGACATGAGCAAAGTTCTATTAGTATTGAATGGGAGGAGTGAGGATGAAAAGAAATAGAACCAACAATATTCAGGTGACTCCTAAAGTACTACTACTGCATGAGTTATATAATGCGACAAGGAAAAACAGGATACTGAATAAATCCATGTATGTGGTGGAGTAATGAATTTTGCAATTATGAACAAGTAGCAGCCTTACCATCAAAGACATATGACTGGATTTGCTCCCTGGTGTTACTAAGCCTGTAAAATGCATCAGATGCCTTTTCAGCAAGGGCACGATATTGCACAGATGCCACAACGTTGACGAAGACATTATCCTGCAGATTATTCAGAACATGATATCCAGCATCAGAATGACTAAAGCAGAAAAACAACAATAACATGAAAAAAACTGAATATAATGCAAACTATACAGATACCATTTTACCCAGTCATGGTAATTTTAACAAATTATAGAGAAAAAAATAGATTTCTGGGGTACCTTTGTCTTTGTTTCGCAGCGGACATCAAGCTGCTGCACACGGAGTGACAGATACCCAGCAATTTGCTTCCCTATGCACCATGGCAAGAAGTGACATCCAGGCTCTAGGATTTCGTCAAATTTCCCAAAAGATTCCTTGATGGCTACTGTGGATTGATCCACTTGAATCAAGCCAAGTGCTTGACCCATGTCTTATCTACAAAGGAACAGTAAATTCTAGTCAGGTCATATGCTAAAGAACAAATGCTAGCATCTCCACATATTTGCACAATCTTGACTTAGGCTCACAGCTGATGTGACTTCTCCAATTAATCTCACAGGATTATCATACAAACAGGTGGCATACTTATCAATAATAGGTAGCACCATGGAATAAAATAATCAATAAATGAGTGAAGATAAAATGTATACTGGATAGCATGGATTGGCTAACTTGTCCGTGCTACAGACTGGACCAATTGCGACATAGAACACAGTATCACAAACAATCATGCTAAAAAACACATGTCAATATGTAACATGAACTCATCAACAACATCTGGTGGATAAGATAGCCATGTCCTTAAGGCCCCGTTTGGGAGAGCTTCGCTCCCTGAGTCTTCAGCTCTGCTCCTTGATTCTCCAATGGAGTGATTCCACTGGATTCCTAGGAGGGACACCAATGTTTTCAAGTCGTCCAGTCAAACCTAGTCGCCATGGGACCGACTAGAACGATTAATCACGATTAATCAAGATTAATCGGACGACTTGTACAAGTCGACGGTACCCCTAATCAGTCAGCAAGGACCGATTAGGACGATTAATCATGATTAATCGTGATTAATCGGACGACTTGAAAACATTGATCCCCACCAAAATATAACAGGGAGCTGGGGAGAATCCGGGGAAGCAGGTTTTTTCGGCTCCCTCGCTTATATACAAAATGGAGAAGTGATTCACTTGGATTCCCTGAGGAAGCTGGGTCGTTTTTTTGAGTTTGGCAGCCAGGGAGTGATTCTCTTCGAGAATCTGCTCCATGGAGCGCTCCCAAACAGCCCCTAAATCTACTGAATTCTCGACATCACCATGGTACAGCCCATAGAATCACACTTTTCTAAAAATCAATTCCACAAAATAGATAGCCACCAAAAGAACAATAACAAACTAGCACAGCCAGTTGCAGTATGAACTATATAGAGAGATAAAAAAGATGAACATGTTCCTACAAGCGTGGTCAACAAGCTTAGTGAGCAGAGGCAAGGATTATCAGGTTCAGGGCTTTCTTGGTGTTATTGGAGTAGAGGGACAGTACATATATAGTCGATTTGTAAAGACAAGTGGACACGCAAGAGAACGTGGGAGGTCGATAAATCATACACAGGGCCAACGAAAGCCAAGAAATCAATGCTGGAAGCTGACCGCAGCACAACCGACGAAAACAGCAAGATGCAGCTAATGATTCATTTGGCGACAAGTCCATGCACAGATCACATCACAGGCTTTATCCAGCACCTAGTGATAATCAAGCACGTCACAATCATCTAATCTGGCCCCCGAAGACAATTAAACATTATCTTACCATCCGTGTATTCTACGCAGGTCGAAATTTCCCAACGGTGCCCAGCCATCAATCAAGAAATTAATAAGCAGCACAAAAGAAATTGTGTTCACAACTAAATCAGAAAAGAATATATAAAAAAATGTGTGCTTGACTTGAACACCTGGAAATTTCAATGAGATTGGCCAGGACAAGCAACGCACGCCAGATTTGTTCGTTCACATCGACGAGGGCACGAGGCCACCATGGAGATACCAAGGGTTGGTTCCAAGCCGTGGCCCACGGTACACAGAATAAGCCTAACATTTACGGCCTGTTCGGGGGAATAAGGATTAACATTTAGTTTTGGAGCAGGGCTGAAAAGATCGCTACGCAGTCGTTTAAAACCGAGGAAGCAAACGCAGCCGAAACCGAGGAAGCAACATACCAGCCCCGAGTCGTCGCGAATGTAGAGAACAATCTTGGGGGAGGGGGAGAAATCCCCAAGAAAGCAAGCACGAAAAAGGGAAGAAATCATTCCCCCGTAAGAACGCTAGGGGGACGAGGGCGGCGGCACACAGTTACCTTCCTCCGGAGGGGATAAGGCGTAGAAAATCGTAATCTCCCGTGTATGTTTGTGAAAAAGTTCAGCGCTGCTTCAACGTCACTGCTCTAATTTTTTTCGTGCCCTTCATATCACTGTTGTTAGTTTGGATTCTAACGCCGTCAATATACAAGTGTGAAAAGTAAAAAAATATTTTTATGTCTAAATATGTCATTATTTTTTGAGCATTTTAACGACTTTAAATGAAAAAACTCAAAACTAGAAAGTTGTAGATCTCATTGAGATCTATAATTTTCATATAAAAATTATATCCATTTAATTTCGCAAAAAATATGTTTTGATATGAGTAATATATCTTAGAAAAATCATATATTTTTTTACGAAATTAAATGAAAATAATTTTTATATGAAAATTATAGATCTCGACGAGATCTACAGCTTTCTAGTTTTAAGTTTTTTCATTTGAAGTCGTTAAGATGCTTAAAAAAATTAATGATATATTTAGACATAAGAGTATTTTCGACTTTTCATACCGCAGCAATTAATGGCGTTAGCATTAGCCTAAACCGACAGCGTAATAGTATGAAGAAAAATTTTTTTTATTAAAACAGTGGTATTTAAAGCCGCTGAATTTTTTTTACACACGTGACATTGCAATCTTTTTTTTTTAAGGCACGCAGAGAATTTTCCCTTTGCTCTCGTCCTGCCGCCGCGCTGCTCCGTAGATTGGGTCGTCCGAGGCCCTCGATCGCCGGTATTTATGGCGGAATTGCTGCGCGTCTGGGAGTGAGGGCGACCGGAGGAGGATTTGCTAGAGATGGCAAGGGAATCGAGGCGGGACCGCGGGGAAGTTGCGCCGCTCCAGTCTCCAGTTCCGCACGGCGGTTCCCGTGGGCCGCCGCCTGCCGGATGTCCTGCTCTAGTGCTCGGTGCCTTCGGATCCCAATCGTTCTCCGCGCTGGAACCGGGTCCAGACGACCAGACGCAAAAAAATATCGCTTTCTTTAATTTCGTTTCGTTTATTTGGATTGGAAAATGGAAATCGTGATGAATATTCTTTCCCTCTTTTTCGTTTCTTCCGTCTACTTGGAGATAGTGATGGCGTTTGACCTTGTTTTTGTCTCGTCCAAAGTTGCTGGTTTGAATCGGACGGTGCTAAGTCGTGGAGAGAGGTTTCATATCTTGCAGACCCTTAAATTAAATTAAATTAAAATCTTATTAGTGCTCCATAACTCAAATTTAGGTCTCCTAGTGACTGAATTCTAACATATAAGCTATATCTGGTAGAGCTTTACTGTCTCACTTTACTTCTCTCTATCTTACCACCTGGGTCCACAAAGTCAAGGGCATAATAAAAATTTGCAAAAAAAAAAAAACATGGGCTTCTGCTTCTTTCCTCTGGCCGGAGCCCACACCCATGGCCAGGCGTGGCAAAGGGGCGGGCGTGCGGCTGGCCAAGGGGCGGCGCGATGGCCAGTCGAGGGCGGGCAAGGTGCATGGCTGCGAGCGACGGGGATGAACCGTTTTTTCTATGTAATTAGTGACATGGTGAGTAATCTTTTTTAACTTCACCAAACTTGAGTCGGTGAAGCACTCCTTGAGGTGATCCACCAAATCTATGGAAAAGTGAATCTCAATCTGGTTTTTCATGGATTTAAAGCTGGTAGAGCTTTGTCAAATGAGTCCACTGGATCTCTAAGTCCAAAGAGTCTAAGAGAAAGATCCAAAGATGTGTACAAAAACTAGATAGTATTTCGCCTATCAAAAAATTGCACATCTTATTTTTTAAAAGTTAACTATTTTGAGTTTAATTAAATTTATAAAATATTATCAACATTTATATTTTTATTATGTTTATTATAAAAAATATCATATAATTAATCCAATACTAGGTAGCGTGCTCATACGTTGCTACGGGACAGCTAAACTTTTATTATAAAAACACATGGATCACACGATAAGATAACAATACAGTGAAATTAAATACCGACGTTAAAGTGATATTAATCAAAAAAAAGTTTGTGAAATTAACAATCACGAAGAGTGCGGTGTCGTGGGCTCACAAACTCTATTGTATAGATATTTTCGTGATGCGGCTAATATAATGTTTTATATCGGCAAGAAGAAATCTCCGATATCCATTTCTTTCGTGCGTCAATAAATCCACGAATAAGTTCCACCGTATCTTCATACCATCTTATACACAGGTTCGAGTATATATATGTAAATATTAGTGCGTGTCACGTAGATAATACTGCCGACAAAGATTTGAAAACGTAAAGGAAGCGACGTGTTTTCCTATCCATATAGGAAATTTAAGCTCTAACCGTTATAATTTCAAAATCCCGCGTGTTGCAAGAGAAAAAAATGATACCTGAGTAACATACGTATGAGCGACATGTTTTCCTATCCATAGGAAAGATTTTTTTTGCTTTATACTCATAAAATTTTTATTTTCGTTATCTCATAAAATTCACTTTTGTTTAAAATTTCTTCTATATACCTGTTTTGGATTTCCATGGCGTAAATCTTCCTCCACTTATACATAACGGTAGCCATTCATATTTCAGAAATTCGTAATAGAATGACAAAAACACTGACAACAAAACAATATACAAGGCCACCAATTCTCCTAGTGTAACAATGTGCTAGAACCTGGCTATAATCAAGAGATAAAAACAAATTCCACATTTTTCATTCCTTAAAATATAATCACACATAACATTGGAGCCTGTTTGGTAACCCTTCGCTTCATGATTCTCGACTAGAGCGAGCATTCGGGTGAGGAGCTCAAAATATCGAGCACACACAACACACACATTCTCTGTCAGTTTTCTCTCATCGCCAGCAGAACTTGGAAGATTACTATATTCTCAATGCAACAAGTTCAGCTAGCCATTGGGAGAGGATGCTGTCGGTGGCCTTGATGGTACTGTTGATGTTCTAGTGCGCCGTCCAGATCACGTGCGTCCTCACCTGCAACCCCACCAAGCAGAGGACATGTAGATCTATTTTAGAAAAGCTTATGAAACAAACAAAATCTAAATCTCTATCCTCCCCTGGCCGAATGTCTCCATGATGTGTCGAATTAGGCTCCCCTAATGAACT